GCTTCAGCTACCAGAGCTGTCTGAAGCATCTGGAACCACCTGGAGTTTTTGAGTACAACACAGCATCAGGCTGGCTGCAGGAGACCTGATCCTGCCTGTCACGCAAGCTTCTGCTGCTGTGCTTGTCCCTGCCAAAAGCAAACGGTGTGCATCAGCAACCTGATGTGAATTTGTGCATCAAGCTGTTCAGTGAACAAGACAGCTGCAGTTAAGAGTGGGCAGTCAGTGCAAGGAGGAACAGAACCACCACGCAGCAGAGGAATAAAGGAGAAACTGCCCAACAAGATAAGGAGCTCAACAGAAAGCACACATTTCTGAACAACAGATACTGCTTTAAAAGCAATCCTGGTGCCATAATATTATGTGCATATGAAATGTGTGGCGCATGACAATCAGTGTATTTCAAAACAAAGGAGAAATAAGACACAAAAGAACCATGTTACTACAGACTGATGTAAGGACATCTGTGGTTCATTTGTGATAGACATTGTGATAGTTTATCCAAAGGACTCCAAATCCCTACACCCAACCTCATCTTAAAGCATCTGGCTTCTAGAACGCAACAGTGCCCTCATTTCTGACATGAGTCGTTTGGATTATCCCGCTTTTCCCAGTATCTGAATTGGCTTTTCCTCCGAAAAGCCCCCCCTAACCTTTACCTCCTTTTAGACTGTTTCCTATTCTATTGTCTCAAAGTTAGAACTCCTTTTATGTCATCTTCCTTATTTTTCCTTTGCTTTGTCCCTCTTTTCTCCGGTTCTTTTCCCAATTCCCACTCATTAACTCACTACTAATCTTTTACAGAGAATTGCAAAAATACAAAGAACCAGTATAGCATTGTGTGCAGCACTTTCAGGTGTATCACGAAATTTTCATACTGGGCACAATAATTTTAATACTATTTGCTTAATCCTACATTTGCAAAAACTATGAAAAGCCTCAGGCATAGGAAGGGAAAAATATCAGAAGTAGACATGTGAGACTTGTGCAAGCAAAAATAGATCATTTGTATTTCAAAACTACGTGGCTATGAAGAATTTAATGGTTTAAAAAATAATTCAGAGAAAAAAAAGCAAGTCAAACTAGGATTCTTTCTTAATGACTTTTTGTTACTTTATTTCCATTATGAAATAATAATTAAAATATTTTGAATGTGTTTGATATTGATATAACCTGAGATAATTCTCTATCTGTGGAAAAAAAAAACAAAACAACAAACAACCCCAAACCCACAACTTTTCGGTTAAGCAATGCTATGTATAGGTTGCAGTGTTAACTTGCAGCTGCAGCCTCCACCTGCACATCCAGTAGACCAGTGACCTCTGCTGGAACACGGAGGATTGCCTCACAACCCTCCAGGCTCCGGTATCGCCCTTTGCCCCTTTGCTATAACGATAAATCACTAACCCTCCTTTTATTTCCCCTTTGGTTTATTTTGGAGGAAATTCACCAGTACAAGCACAGTTCAAATCTGACATTCTGTGAAGCACTTGAGCACAATCTTTGACAAAGTTTTAAGTAAATGTTTAACAAGTAAACAGAGGAAGTTTGAAAATCACTTAGAAAAATGGTGTGGTAACAATATGAAAGGAGTATTTTCCTGAACTGAAACTGTGAATATGATTATATGCTATTTTCAGCTTCCACATATATACAATTATTCCTCCTTCTCTTACTTATTTCTACAGTAATTGAAAGAGTGGAGGTGCCTGACATTGCAGACATTAGATGTCATTTCTGCTCTGTCTCCAGAGACAGCATGACAGAGTACCCTGGGTCAGAAAACAGATCATTAACAGGAAGAAGGGAGGAAGCATGCAAAATCCAGTTCCACTGTGCCATTTATCACTTAATGCCTGAATGTCTACCTTAAGGTATTTCTGATCAACATAAGCAAATTAGTATCTTTCGCCAGTTACACAAACCAAACCTTCCTCTGCTTACCAAGCAGTTATGACTCAATAAATGGATAAAATAATTTCTACTGGACATCAATTAGCATAATTTATGAAACCTCATTTCCAAAAGGTACAAAAGCCCCATTCAATGCCAACAGAAACTGTGGCTGATGAAACACAGCTGAAATCCCAGTCACTTAAGCATACTAAATTCTACTTACCAGCATTAAAGCACTAATACTGTAAAACAACACATAAAAAACCCTACAGTTTTGGACCATTCACTACCAACCAGCAAAAGGAATATAAGTGACACAGGTTTTTTCCAGTACAGGAACCTAATGCTCATCCTTACAGAAGACAGTTTTTATTTAGGATTGAAATGACCTAGAAATGCAGCATGCCACTTACTAATAATGCTATATAACAATTTAAACAGGGAGTAATGAATATCATATCCAAACAAAAATGCTGGAGGACTTTAAAACAGCTAAATGTATTTACACAAACTGGTATTTAGCTGAAGAAGACCTGTATATCAATGCTTTGGGTAAATACACTGAACTCTAAGGAAAGCAATAATGGATTCGCTTCAAAAGATCTTCTGAAAAAAAAAAAACACCACAAATGACTCTGTGTGAGTCACCAACAGACTGATTCAACACTAAAAGGGAAAAATACTGTCTGCTTGCAGAGCTGCTTCTAAGGGTATTTTGAAGTCTTAGTACTGAAAATGGGGAAATTACTTTCCCCTGGGTACTAGCCTGATTCTCCTCTGACCAAGCAAAGAGAGCTATGTAGCTCAAAGCAGGACTACATGCCGAGCACTTATCTTCAATGCCCAGGGGAGTGCAGTGGCCCACTATTTCAGATACACAGTAATAAAAACAGATTGAGAACAATTAGCACATGGCATTGTTCTGTCTACTTGGTAACATCACTACAAGTTGTAAAGGGCATCTTTTAACATACAGTGTGTGTTGAGTGCTCCTTCAGGGAGCTGTTAGGATCATTCTTGCATGATTCTTCTTTCCCATCTTGGATGGCCAAGCTCTGACACCAGTCACTTCATTGTTAAGCGTCACCTAAAACACACAGGTAGCCACCTTCAGTGCCATACTAGACTGGAGATCTTGACATGGGAGATACTCAAAAAGGCCCATTCAAAAATGTCAATTAGAAGTTTTTCTTTTTTCGCATGACCATACAGATTCTTGGCATTTCACCTGGTACCCAAATAACATGCCCACCATTATCCTATACATCAAAGCACTACCTTGAGTAAAGACAAGTAAACTGCACATACACTGACAAGATGCTTGTGCTGGGACAGCTCCTCACCCTTTGCAGGTTATGTTTTAGCTTACTCCTAACATGCAGGCACACCATACCATAAACATTCAGCAGTATGTGCCAGACCCACTATACGACCCACTATACTATATAGTGTCTCTCATGTTTGCAGAGTAGAACCAATGCTTTCTAAAAATACTGGACTCACTGCACACGTACACTGGACAGTTGATGCTGCAAGGTGCTGCATCTATGGCAACCTGGTCAGAATTATTTCCTCCCTGCAAATATAGGAAAGCTCCAAATTCTACTCAAAATATATCATGAGGACAAGGAGGGGAGGGGGAGGAAAACACCACCAACAAAAAAAAAGCCACCCAAACCCCCACAGAAACACAGCACTTTTCCCAGGGAATCGCAGAGAAACGGTAATCCCTCCTCACAAATGATCTTTGGAGACAAAATCCAACTCTTCAACCCTAAACCTGTTTTGTTCACTATGTAATTTCTAACATCTACAGCAAATTAAGCATGAATTTTACAGCCTGCTTTAACCATGCAGCCCTGATTCAATTTCATTCTTAGTGCTGAATGAAACAACTGCTCTAGGGGAAAAAAGCTGCTAGTGAGTCATCAAAGACTGCATCATAGCACATATTAGGGGAATGGAGAGAAACAAAAGGTTTCTTAGGCAACCTTTATTCTGCAACTTCCTCACATTTGAGCATTTGAGTTCTAGTATTTTTTTAACAAAAGAAATAATGCTGGGGGTTTTTTAAATATACAGTTTCTGTCACTTTAAACTTCTGAACCAATTACAATGACGGTGCTTATTTTATATACCCTCTTTAATGCAAATATTTTTACCGATACTTTTCATAAAGAGCAGGAAATAAAGAAAAACTAGTTGAATGGGGCTGTACCTTAGAGACCAATTTACCAAATGCTGTAAAGTATTTGCTCCATAGGAAACACTATGTTGCTGCATGTAACTATTATCCTAATAGCATTAATTTCATAGTAGGTAAAGTCACGTGACATTACTAGATGGCTAATTTGGGTTTGTAACCTAGCAGTAATTTTGGACAACTGTCTATAAATCACTGAATGTTAAATTTGTAAAGTTTTGAGTAACTATATCTTCCCCTGTAAAAGACTGCATCAGCCTCTCTGCTCCTTTTTTCCCCCCTAACTCCAATGAGGGGTGTTGCTTTAAAGGGTACATGTCTTTTGCTGCTGGAAAATAATGGAGAAAATTAAAGTTTCAACTGCAGCTTTCAGCTACTCACGGCTGGAGGTATTTCCTAATACCTTCTCATTTCATCCTTCTCTTTGAAGAATAAATCAAGAAAAGGAAGCCATCTGTTGTAGGTAAAAAACATAGCTTAGATGAATAAAGAGACACAAGACAAAACCCACTAATTACAAAGTGCTGTGCTCCCTCACATTCACTACTGAGATTGGGAAAGTCAGCGACTTGGAGTGCCAGAAAGGAGGCTGCAAGGACTGCTGACAGAGCAGCTGCACAGCACACATGAAAACTTTCTGCCCAACCCTCCTGACAGCAGTAATCTCCCTCCTGGGAAGGGAATCTGAGGCCAAATGAACCTAACACTGCTGGCAAACCTTGTCTTCCTGCCAGCTGGGGATTTCTTGGAAGGAAATCCTTCTGGAGGTACTCGGAGCCAGAGGACGTTGCAGGATGCTCCACTCTCACCACACCAATGATCAAAGAACGAGGACAGGAGATGCTGGGAAGCAGGATGTACCCAAGAGCATGCTTATCTACTAGTATGCATTCAACTAGAATTTATCAATTTTAACCATATAAATTATTTTAATAATCAGGATATTTTTAATTCAACAAGTAGTATTTAGGAATACAGAGAAAAGTGTTTGGCATTTGAAAGTTATCTGTGCAAATACTTATTCGAGCAACCTTCATTTACGCTTCCTCAATGCTGAAATCCTCTTCATCCTGCCAAAATATTGAATGGCCCAATCCTTACATAAACAGCGTATGTACTGAAAGCTTCTTAAAAAAAGAAAAGCAAAAAAGCTGGTGACAAAAGAAAACCAAACCCAACCCCTCAAAACAAAAACACACCCCTGGACTCTATACTTTCTGTACAGCTGTGATAAGAAGACCTCAGAATAATAAAGGATATATGCAAGCAGTTCTGGAAGTCTGACCCACACTCAAATGTCCTTTTCATTAACAGCATGCAAAGCATAATAAATACTTTTGGCCCAAATCAACAAAATATTTAAGAACATATTTGAATTTTTTCCTTGATTACAGCTATTTTCTTAAATTTAGCTTAATGCTGTCAGGTTCACTAGCAGGCTTCAGTTTTTTGAAACAGTTATGTTCTTTGAATTTACTGCTGTACTTCACGTTTTGATGCCATCTGAGTCATGAGGAATGCTTTCATAGAATCGAGTAGGCTGGAAAAGACCTCCAAGATCATCAAGTCCAACCTTTACTCCAGGACTGACAAGACCATCATTAAACTGTATCACTGAGGGCCTCATTTGCATGGTTTTTGAACACTTCCAGGGACAGTGATTCCGCCACTGCCCTGGGCAGCCTGTTCCGATGTCTGATCACCCTCTCTGTGAAGAAATTTTTCCTAATATCTAATCTAAACCTCTGCCGGTGCAGCTTGAGGCTGTTAAAATGTCTTCTAACAGTTATCTGAATTACTAACCAGTCAAGCCACAAAATGCTGACTCCATTCATTGCAATTTCCATCTTATAGGAGGAATTCAGTTATAAACAAAAGAGAAATATTTCTGTAATACAAGATTATAGGCTAGTACAAGAACAACCACCAGCTTACAATTTTTAAAGCCTAGATAGTTTTCAGAACTGCATGTTTTCATATTCAATATCAGGAAGTACCACACATATAGAGACAGAAATCAACTAAGAAACAAAACAAAAAAGCTGTCACTGTCCAACTGTCCACAGGAACCATGTCTAGTCACGTTTTCAGTCAGTCAGTCAGCTAGCTGGGGGTCATGTCATTATTTAGTTTCTGCAGAAAAAACACAAGTACAAAAATAGTATCAAAAAGCAACATACCTGTTTTTATTTTACACTACATCACTATAAAACATAAATGTTACAGCATATAAGACTTTTAATATCTTTAGAAGAATAATATGAACATTTTATATATGCTTCTCTAGCTTTTAAACAGGCACCTACTTTGCTTAGCAGTATGTGAAAGCCAGCAACTTTCCTGCAGTATGCTGGTAATTCAAAATTATTTTGAATTAACAAATACATTATAATAACAAATTATATAATATACATATATAACAAATATATAAGACATATGCAACAAATTACTATAACAAATATAATATATAAATATATTTTTATATTCATAAAAATATATCTTTTAATTCTGGAGTATATTTCAACTATGACAGAATTACTTTTTTGAAACAGTTTTGGACATAAGTAAATCATTATAGGTGTACATGTTAAACTTCAGGATTTCAATAAAGGTTTAGCTAAAAAAAGAGAAAAAAAAAAGAATGCAAATCAAATCAGTGATACAGGACTTTTTCGGAACAGGGATAATAAAAGACAACAAAAAAGTATTTCATGACAGAATAAAATTTTCAGTACCAAACATTATCAGAAGGGGAAAAAGGCAATGAATCCATCTGCTGTGTGTTAAAGTCAATTAGCAATGACTATAGACAGCCACAGAATCCTGCCCTAGACAATCTGTGTTTTGCATTTCTAATGTAGTGCTAAATTAGAAGCTCTGCTTTCTAAGGACTATTTGAAAGCTTTGGGGTGGGGTTTGGGTTTTTTTGTTGTTGTTTGTTTATTGTTTTGTCTGCTTTTGGGAGGGGAGGGGTATTTAAATAGAACTATTAAGTTGTAATAAAGAGGTAAATCAGAATTCCACAATATATTCTTCTGGCAGTTACCATTTTTTTCCTTCCTCTTCTATTACAGTGATATAATTTACACAACAGGCACAAGACAATGCAGTGAGGTTTTCCTAAATACTCAAAGCAATGCAAAAACCTGAGTAGAAAGCACAAGCTGGTCAACACCAAGAACACTAAGATAGCTTCTGCTTTTAGCAACTGCCTAGAAATAGACAATGCAGCTGTCTTCTCAAGCCTATACTAACTCAAACAAGATTATTTAGAATTCTTATTTCAACTACAAATACTTACTTAGCATGAGGGGACAACCTCACCCCTCAAAAAAAATTACATTAGAAGTTAAAAGTAGTTAGAAGACTGTTATTGGTCTGTATTTCCATCATATCTCTGCTACTTTTAACTACTCATATAAACAACTGAAGTTTCATTGACATGCAGGAGAGCCAGAGCACGCAAAATTTATTAGATAGATTAGTTTAGAATTAGAATTAACAAACATGTATTAAAATTCTCCTGATAAACGCAGGTTATTGTAAGATGAGACTGTTATGATCAGAAGTTTACATTACAAGAGTATTATCAGTAATATACCATTACCATAAAATATTTAAGAAACATTTTATAAATTATATTAAAAAGATTATTTACATAAGAGAAAATATGGGGGAAATAAAAAATTCAGATAAAAGCTGCACTGAAATTATAAATATTTCAATTTAAAAATTAGTCAATTGAATTTATTCTCATATAGATTTTACTGTTTTCACAGACCTTATCATGGATTTTAATTAGAGAACCTTCTACAGAAAGGACTACTGCAGAAATCCAGGCACCTTGTTAGAGATAAAGGGCAAGCAATACTACAGGACTTAAGAAAGGATTTTCCTGGTTTTTTTAAGAGGCAATGACTTCCTTAAGTGAAAACTCACAGGTACTATTTCAGAGATAGAGAGAATTCCATCCCCCTTCACACGCACAATTTAAAGCTTTTAACTGAAAGCAAAACATAAGCCTCTAAACTACATCAAAACTGGACTGTCTGCCAGTCCAACGTAGAGCCACACAAGCCCTTTGAAAAGGAGCACGATGGAATCTTTCTTTTTAAGGACCATTTCATCTGAATTTGAGAAACTGGCTAAAAGACAAAAAGAGATCAAGTAATTTTGTCTTTCTATTCTAAGAAGAAATAGATCCTAAGACAACCTGGTAGAGACTCAGAATTGGGAACTTTATGTACAGGATGTAACAAGATATAACACAGTAAATTTAGAAAGCTCTTCTACCTGTGTTACTGTACAGAGATAGCAGATGAAAGGCTAACCAGAGGGGAAATACTCAGCAGTCATTTGTACCAGAATTACAAGTAATCTGTCCAAAAGAGATCTGGGACGTCTGCTTTTGAACGAACTAAAAGTAGTACTCCTTATAATTTAAAAGTTTACAGAAATGCAACAACCTAGGAAAGGATAAAGTGCTCTGCTGTAGTTTTGCAGACTGCTCTTGAAATACAACCTTATTTCTCCAGTTCTCTAATTAGGGAAAATGGCACAAGAGCAAATAGGTACATCTTACCCTTACCTTATAAGGGAGTTCAGATTTCTAATTAGTCAGTAATAGGTATATATACATTATTTGAAACATAATGTAAGTCTTAGCCTTTTGAAAGCCCAATTTTGGACCAACTGCAACTTTTGTCACCTGGAGACTCTGAAAAATCTTCTCCAAAAAAAAAAAAAAAATCGCGCTAGAAAAATGGGTTCTTGCGTATGTGTGCACACACGTGTGAATTCAAAAAAGAAAAATAAAACATTGTTTATGCTGACAAGAGAACCTCCCAGTCTTCTCACTCTTATCTTTCTTAAAACCAAAGAAAGAATAAGTGAGGATAAATCACCTTTCTAGTTTTGAATGCATATTGCATCTACACTTTTCTAGTAACAACTGGTCAAGGCAGACCAGACATTACGTTACACTTTACATCAGTTTTCCCTGGTAGTGACAAAGAAGCTGGCCTTTTATTATTGGAAGCAAGTCACATTAGAAACAAATAAAACCTCTGTATAAAGGTAAGAACATGTGTACAAGTTACTTAAGACTGCATTCACCAGAGCTGATGATGGAAAAAAAAAAGTTTCAGATTAGTTTTAGCTACAATTCAGTTCAGAAAAAGAATTCTAGAAAACCATTTTTTTTAAAGCAAGTTGTATGTAAGACTAAGGCCAGCTTTAGCAACTGCTGCTTATCAAATTAACAACATGATAAACACACTCTGGGCAAAATCTTTGCAGATCTTTGCAAGTCCTGGATCATAAGGAGTATCTGCACAGAGAAAGATCCAAGGAATAAAGCTTAGAAGGAAAATACTGATGCCAGGAGAGTAAGGATTTCATGTGATGTTTTTGGAGTGAGTTAAATCAAAACTGCACATCCCTTGAAAAGATAATATGGCTAATGAAATTATTTGGAAGGTACAGTAATATTTGGGAGTTATTTTGTAGAAAACAGGGCTCAGCCTTTCCTCCCCCAACTATATTTCTCTTTTGGTAATAGTTCTATTTTTTTTTTAATTATTATTATTATTTAAACATTATTTGTATCAAACCAAAGTTTTAAAGAACAACGCGAATTTTGGTCCCTGAAGTCTATAAAACCTCTGTAGGAGCTCAGCCAGCTTTCACAGGCCATAAGCATCAATCAGTAATTTCTCAAACTATTATTTTAAACATAACCTCAATCCCTCCACAAGAAGCTCGGCAGTATTTTCTTCACTAACACATATTCTAGCTACACCTGATTTCTGAGAATCCAGATGCCTCAAATATCCAAAACCTTCATTTTCCCCTGGCAACCTTCCCATGTCCTTTTTTTATCTACCCTTTTCCTACTCTGCCCTTCAAGGGCTGAACTCTGCATCTTTATCCAACACCAGTGTAACAGCATTTCTTTAATGAAAGAAAGACACATACAAGCTGTGCTCAGTTCTATTGTTTATTTTTTTTCCCAGTGTTAACTGATACTCTTATGTACAGAAAGTATTTCTATGAACATCTAGATTGATGTTAATCCACTGGTTCATATTTGTTTAAAGATTATAAAAATAGACTTTTACTAAAATAAAGTGTACATGTGCATATGTAAGCATACACACCTCCATATATACATATATGTATTCATACATATCACAAATTAAATTTCAAGCTGTTAGCTAAAAATAGATATAAAGTTTATCATTACAAGTTCATATCTAGCTTCAGAATACTTTACCTATCACTATTTCAAATAACTGAACTTCAGTTTAATTAACAGCTCAGACTGTTACTCACCTCTCAGTAAGTTCTCTGACGTTTGTTAGATTCTTCTGAAGGCGAGTCTGCCAACCTTACTTTAAGCCTGACACCATTCACAATCTTCCCATGTAATGCAGTTATGGCATCACTGGCACTTGCTCTGTCTGCAAATTTTGCATAGCCCACATTTTTTCCAGCCACAAGGTAAACTTTTATCAACTGTCCAAAACGACTGGGTGCGGGAAAGAAGAAGGAAAGAAAAGATAATTTACAGGTTTTACAGGTTTTCCTGCAGCATAAATACCTATTAACCAATCTGAAGTATGCATGATTTCGTGGCTGCAAAAACTATATTCTCATACGTATGCTATATTTTCTTGTGCTGCCTTCTTCCAGTCCTCCCAGTTTTCATATTCCTTTCCCTAGAATTACAGCCAGGAATAGAAATAAAACCTAAATTTCATAGGCAGTGTTTTCTATGGAATATTACAATAGAACCACAAACACCAGTGATTTCTCACTTATTTAAAAGAATACATAAAGCTAATCAATACCATACTCCCCAAAGACTAAATGGCACTCAAAAAATTCCACAAAACCAAGACAACAAGAACATACGTACACAAAGCAGAAGATAATTTAAAGGCTGAACTTGCTTCTCATTTAAACGAACTTGCTCAGTTCTGATTAATCTTAGAAAAAGTCTCAGTGAAATGACTCAGAAAGCAAGCACCGAAGTGTTATGGAAAAACCCAGATTTCCAAGTACTCAGGAGATTCCTGGACAGGAATTTCCTCTTTCTTTTCCTCACATGGTGCTTCAAAAATATTTTGGCTTACCAAGATTTATTGAAAATGCCAGCTATTAGAAGAAGGAAATGTCTTGTTTTTCAACAGCATACTAAAAATAAATCATATAAAATACTGGTGAACAGTTAAACTATGGATCTGTTTTAAAGATGGCAAAAGTTGTCTCTGAAGTCTTTGGTCCTCGTAGGGAGGTAGCATAGAAGGACAGCTGTAACAGTGTCAAGATGCAAATCATCAAAATGCCTCAGGATAGATCAGAAAAAAATACCTCCCTATACTTACTGGACTAAGTTGCTATGGAAATTTATCAAAATACTTAAATTCCTTAGAGAAATATGTACAATAAAAGGCCAAATAAATTAGGCTGTGAGAACTGAAAGTACTACATTTTTTGGTTAAAAAAAAAAATAAAGAGACAGTTTACTTCAGATTATTAGTTAATATTATTAACCAATGATAAAGCTACTGTACTGATAATATGGCATCTATGCTTCACAATGAATTCCATTACACATCTGTTTCAAAAAGCAACTGTTACCTATTGATCACTTATTACTTACTGAACACTGCACTCTTTTCTGGAAGTTTTCATGATGAAAAGCTTTTTTACTTTCAACACTTACTTTCATGTTTGTGGTTTTTTTTGTTAGAGAAGACTTATTTGTAAACGGATTCTTACCAGAACACATCCTCCAATACATTTATAGGTAAAGGATGGGGATGAAAAAGTATGAAAAGCCTTTCCTTCACAGAAGTGTCAGGTGGAACTTTTTTTTTGGGTGGTGGAAGTATGGCATCTGTTTGGGGCTGAAGTAACTGTGAGCCACAAGTTCCCCCAAATGCCTGCTGAAACAGGTAGAAAAAATGCAAGTATAAATTAACTGATGGGGGAGGGGGCAAAGAGGAGCAGGGAAGTTATTTTGCCCTATTACAATCTTTTTTTTCTCCCAAATCAGAGGACATAAGTGGGCTCTACCAGTTCTGATCTCAATTTCTTTACTTTGGTTATTTCATTAAATTGCTCAATAAATCCAAGCGATGTCAGACACCTTTACAGGGAATAAAAGGCACATCTTAAACAGCAGCATCTAAAGGTACACCTTAAAGGTAGCATCTAAAACAGTTACAGAAGACTGTGAGCAGTGATCTGTACTGACATAGCTGAAGTTTCTTACAGCAATTCAGAAGAATATGAACAGTATCGATTATATTAACTTACAGGAGGTGTCCTATATTGCTGAACAACGGCATTGTTATTCCGCAACACTGATGACACATGTGCTGTTACCAGCTGTGTTGCCATTTTTCTGATGAGGCTGCAAGCAGAAGTTATAATAAACTATTTAAAGAGTGAGCTAAATTACAGTACTCTTCAATTCAGCAAGAGAAAACAAGTTTTAATTCGCATCCAGAAGTATTTCTGGAAATCTATAAAATCGTCCAGATAAAGAGAAAAAAAAAGTCAAACCAGGCTTTCATGACTCTAGACATGACTAGAAAGCATACACACTACCTGCAATTCCCTGAAAACACACACTTCTACGTAAAGTGGTACAAAACTCTTCCTTGCTTTTTTTAATGCTAGGGGGAGGAGAAGGGAGGGAAACAAAAGAAAAAAAACCCACACTCTGCAGAGCCCACTACGTTTTGTGAAAGGTACCTAAAAGGCAGAAGGGACAGGAAAGTTTCACCTATTTCCATAAAAAGTACAGAGATACAATTCATAAGTCAGAATATTATCACAGGAAGTTTACTTCCAGCACTCATTTTCCAGTGATCTTTCCTTCCTCTCATGCAGAATAAGATCGCCCTTTTTGCATAGGTTCACAGCCTATGTTGTAGGGCCATGAAATAGTAGGAATTACTGAAGAATGAAGGTTGCAATAAATAGTTTATTTTTGTTCAGATTAGACATGTACTTCTAAAGTGAATCTCCCAATTGTCCCTCCTTACTGTCCTCATTCACATCGCACAATAAGTTTGACAAACTAGATTCCTTTAGGATGAAACTCAGACAAAACATTCACTGCAGGAGTGTACCTAAGCTGCTCCAACTTTTAAAGGGCATACAAATCACAGGAATAGATTAGAGACAGTCAAAGTAAAACATGACTATGCCCACACAGTTGGCTCCGACAGATCTGATAGATCCTCAGCACCCAACAGTTTTACTCCACATATGTGCTTCAAAAGGCTACTGTTTCCAGTACTGCAAGCATGAACAAGAGATCAAGCACATGAATCTCGTTTTCAACGCAAAAGCCTCCTCAAAAAAACACATTCCAGCCTTGTTACATATTACAGACATTTATAAAAATTCTTGCAAAATACAAGGTTTTACAATCTATCTTAAAAATACATAGTTTAATCTTTATCAAAAACTGGTAAGTTTCAAGGGCTTATTCTAAATCATTAAAAGACAAAACCAAAGAAACAAAACAAAACCACCTACATTTCAGAAAATACTATCTGTAAGTAAGAAACAGGATCACAGTGACATTGCTGTTGGTTCTTAAGTTGAAAAACTGTGTATTTATTTTAAATTTTGCTCTCCAGAACACAACTTACAACTTTGTATCTCTATGTATTGGTACTTACTCTGAGCTATCACTCCCATCGTCTAGGAAAAGGACAGTTAATCGATTTCCAGGAGGATACTCAAACCCATGTAATTTATACTTGGCATATATAGCTGATGCAGCGGTACTGTACTGAATCACAGCATACCCTAAAATACAGTGTACACAGTTCCAGTATGATATTTGTAAATCTTAAGGACAAACTACACTCATACAACACAATATGATTGAACTGCACATTAGTCATGGAAGATACAAAATTCGTAAGTCTTTTACCACACACTACATTAATCAGTAGCATTCATAAAGAAAACTTCAGTGATAAATCACCTATACTTACGCTAACTTGAAAAGCTGGTAATAAAGCAATGCAAGCAAAAACTTTTCTTCTTCCCTAACCCCAAGTTAGGGACAAATGCACACAGTTTCATTTTAAAATGCAATTATCCTATCAACAATTAATTTTACATTTTAATTCTGTGAATCAATTTAATTTCAAGTTTCTTGCAAAGAAATATCTTCCACATTCTTCTCAACAACAGCAAAACAATAAGACCGAAACAAAAACTATCCTTCCAAGACAAAACATGATTTGTTTTGGATTTATTTAATCCAGTTTATTCATGTCAGTTTCTACACAGACACACACCTCTCTCAAGAGGAAAACAAATGATCTGTTTAGAAAAACATTTAAACTATACATCTAATATTTTGAAACATTTTCTCCATTTATTTGGCCCCAACCTATTAACTTAATGTAACCAAAAAGCACTTCTCATGGGTTTGATTCTGTCCTTCTTGAGATTCTACCATCCAAAAACAAAGGTATTGAAGGCTTTCTATAAACAGGGGTTCAACCAAAACTGAACTTCTGGGATTATGTATCAGCAATAGTAGCAACCACTGATACGTAAAACATTCTTTCCAACAACTATACTGTATCTTGCAATACAAATGAACTGAAGTACAACTAAAAGGAATTGTCTTAACAGAAAGATATTTTTGTACTTTTACTTACCACTGTTGGTATGAGGATCTCTCTGAACATCACAATATTCCAGTCCTGGAACTAGATCAAAGAGGGCAAACAGCTGCTCTTGGATAAAGGGAAGCCGTGATACCACTGACAGACGTTTGGAGACTGACTCTTGAATTCTGCACTCTTTTTCAAAGCAACAGAACTCTGGGTGCCCACCTCAAGAATCAACATTTAATAAATAAATAAAAAATGAATAATTTGAGTCATCACACTAGCATGCTTTCATTTCATACATACTTTTCATTCACCTTTTAAGCCGACTATATACTAAAGGTGACATGTTTATTTCTCCAACAGAGGTCACAAAATAAGTGACCAACTAGAGCAAACCATAAAAATACAGAAATGAAATGGCTGGCTCGTTTCTAACCCCAACATCCAATTTACTATATAAGAGCTGACACAAGCCTCAGTTATCTTCCTTTATTGCAAAATGCATTCTCATTTTGTGACCATACAAATCATTTCTAGTGTAAAAAAATGTGACTTACAAAATGAAAGTGGATTTCCTCTTGGCTCTTGCCTTGTATTATTACTATAATAATCGTGTTCAAGAGACTCGGACGACTTATTTTTAGGTTCAGCCAAAATGGCCCTGTAGCCTGAAAGGACCAACCACATATATAGCAACACTTTAGCACATCTCAATTACCTGACCAGATCCACATTCTCCAAGTACTGTATATTTTGAAATACATTATTCAGAAATCCCAGTAAGTACTGACTTTAGGAAAATAACTAATCTGCAACTCAAAATCTGCCATGATAATTGTGTCAAAGTTAACTACTTCCGCATGTAACTAGCTTAATTCTAAGTTAAGTACAACAGAGCCTACTTGGTGTGACTGAGCACTGTCAGAGGTTGCTCAGAGATGAGGAACCTCCATCCTTGGAGATATTCAAAAGGTGTCTGGACATGGTCTTGAGCAACCATGATGTCCAAGTGGCCCTGCCTGAGCACAGGGATTAGGCAAGGTGACCTCCAAAGTCCCTTCCAACTTCAGCTTCTGCGATGCCTACCAGGATTCAGAGATGCTCCAAAGGCAGTCACCTGAACTTAGGTACTGTAACAGTGGTTATATACTATGTATATATACTATACTATACAGCAGTTATATACTATGTATATATACTATACTATACAGCAGTTATATACTATGTATATGTACTATACTATACAGCAGTTATATACTATGTATATATACTATATACATAGACAGCAGTCTATGTATATATGCACTGATCTATGTTTTGTTTTTATAAAATAAATAGGTATTACTCTCAGGCTATCAACCAAATCAATTTTAATGTCACAGCAAAGAAGGAAATAGAATTTAACTGCTAAGTAACCTCAGACTCATAGTCCCACATGAGAATTGCCACAAATATAACTTTTGTAGAACCATTTATGATATATATGATGTGGAACCATGTATATTCGGGGGGAAAGGAGAGAGCAAACACATGCACATGCCAAGTCACTGCATATTTTGATTAAGCAAACACTGAACAGGAGGTTGAGCTGGAAGGCTGCAGTAAGGTTTCTACCAAAGCCTTGTTTCTCCTGGATAAGTTCCCCCTGTCTTTGTCATAATTCATGTGCTTCAGCCCCTTATCACCTTGGTGGCCTTCCACCAAAATCACTAAAATTCATTAACACCTTTTTGGTGCTAAAGCATAAATGACAGATGGCTGGTTATAATGCACACAAAGTCTTTCATTCTGTAACAGATTAATCATGGTATTAAATGTCAAAGAAAACCAAAAACACAAACTCCTATTAGGATTAATTTGTTCTTAAATAAATGGAATCACAACAGAATCTCCATGGATAATCGACTACATTTTATACACAAATTCATTTTTTATCAAATACAATTGATTAAAATGCATACTCCCAGGGACACATTAAAATGAGGTTTTCCCGTGTATGAAGCCTACATTATAGGCCAATAATGCATGAAAGAAAACTCTGTATCCATTTTCCAAACTCCTTTCACTGATCCTTCTTATGGTTTGGTCTTGCAAGAATGTAACCAAGTGGCTGTTCTCAACCAATGTTCTCAACCAATGTTAATGCTACTTTTTATTTGCAATATAAGTGTCTTAAGATGAGTTTACATCAAATAATTTACCTGCAAACAAAACTAAAAATTAAATACACATTAATGACAATACATGCTTATTGTGAAAAACTTGAAAGAATTCAGATTCTTACTTCGATCACACTCTTCAATTGCTAGGGCAGCTTGCGACGGTTTTAAATACCTCACATAGCCCAAACCTTTACTTTCTCCAGTAGTCTTGTTTTTAATAATGCTGCAATACTCAATGTCGCCATACATCTAGAACAATTAAAAAGCGTATTAATTTACAACATTTGAAAATGCATTAAGCTCCATCTGTTAAGCCTTCTGATATTTTAAGACAAAGGCAATGTAGAGAAGCAATTAACAAATAGCAAAGTAGTACCTTAAACTTCTCTCGCAGATCTTCCTCTGTATAGGATTTAGGTATCATAACAAAGATTCGTGTAAGCTCCTCATCCTCAACATCTCGGTGGCTTCCAGAAGCTCTTGACTGCGCAATAAATACCTAATGAAATAATTACATAGACATAATTACATATAAGCAAGCAAGAAAAATAGCTTGTTTAAATAAGACTTTGCGTCTTACACAAAATCTAGCTTTCCCAACATGGAAAAAAGAGATTATCTCCGATCACAGATGCATCTGTGACAAAAGATCAGCAGATATAATACTCCGCAAATGGTTTCCTGAACAGCACAAAGGCCAGCATGATTTCTCACTGGGGATTATGCAGAATTATCAAGAATACCAAAGCCTGATTCAGCAGCTATGTCAGTATCATCAATCACATGTGAGATAATAAAAAATGTATTACTGCAACAGGCCTAGTACAGCAGTCCTAAGAAAATAAGCAAACAAACAAAAAAGCCTAGCAACTTATTACAACCTTGCCACTGCAACTCACTGCTCAACTGGGCTGAAGTCTGCAGGTCTAGTGCTCTATGAAGGATCATAATTTCACATCTGTAACTGTAAAAAATACTTTTAATTACTGAAACAAATTTCACCTCAGATGTACACACCAGAAGACAACCAGGAAAAAACAACCAACCAACCAACAAAAAAAAAAAAAAAAAAAAACAAACCACCCAAGCAAACAACAGAAAAAACCCACACAAAATAACTGAATAAGGAAAATACAAACAACATTCAAAGCAAGCCTCTTATGCAAAAGCAGCAACTGGTTTCACACAGCTCTTAAATTACTTTTCTAATAGTCACACAGGGGAGAAAGGATTACAACTCTGATTTTTTGGCTTCTAATAGCAAGTTCTTCAGAAAAGATTTATTGACTCGACTGCATTTTAAGATGAAATATGTGGGATCTTCTTTCACTGTTCAAAGTTATTCATATCTTGGGGAATATGAAAATAATTCTAGGAGGCAGGGTTCCATTAAAAAAAAAACCCAAACACGCTATAACTGCTTTGAAAAAACTGTACACAAGCTACAAGACCAACATAAAATATCCTTGTAAAGGCAGTTGTATCTATCCACCCACATCGATCTTGCTTGCAGCACTTCAGATACACCGGTGTATTTCAGAGACTTCCTCAAGGCTAAATCAACCAAACAAAACAGTTTCCGGGTGCTGCCTTTTCTCCAGGCCTGTGGCAGATTACGCCCCGCGTGGGAACGGCATTCGAGGGTGAGACGCACCGCAGCTCCTGAAGAGCACCGCCAAGGCCGCAAACCCCGAACCCGCCCCGCACCTGACCCAGAAGGGCGACGGCATCGCACCAGCATTACGCGCGGAAAGCAGACCACAGAAGCGGGTCTGACGTGCTCGGTGGCGGCTCGCTGCCTGTTCCCAACAAGGAGAACAGCTTCAGCCAGGCATCCGCCACCACTGTCCCCACAGCCCGCTCCTCGCCGAGGGGCTTCCCATTTCCCCATGTACGCCAACACTACATTCCAGCAGCAAGCTTGGACAGAGGGGCCGAGTCCTGCGGCCCTCCGAAGCCGGCACGCTGGGAAGGGGGCGCCCTCCCAGGCCCCCGTCGCCCACCCCCGGTCCCTCTGCCCAGAAGGATTCGGGCGGCGCGGTACCTTAATGGGCTTGGTGTCAGGGGCCAGACTACGGCCGTGCATCTCCTCCATGGCCCGGCAGGCCTGCGAGCTGCGGGCGTACTTGATGAAGGCGATGCCGCGGGACTCATTGGTGCGCTTGTCCCGCAGAAGCCAGATGTTCTGGATGTCCCCGAAGGGGGCGAAGCGCTCCCGAATCAGCGCCTCCCCGGTGTCCTTGCTCAGCACCACAAACACGCGGCTGTTGGGCGGCTCGTCCAGGCACTCGGCGGACAGGCGGCAACCGCTGCTCTCCTCCATCGCGGGGCTGCTGGGGGCTGCCAGCTTTTCCCAGAAACAGGCGGGGAACGGCCGCAACGCTTTTCCGCCGGGGAAACAACTTCTTCCGCTTCCTCCTCCTCCTCGGCTTTAGCCGCGCCTCTCCCGCCTCCCCAAGGCCTAGTTTACGGCGGCGGCCTCGCCTGCGGCGGGTGGGGTTTCTTAGCCGCCCTCCTGGAGCAGCGGCGTGTCCTTCCTGGAGGAGCTAGGCAGCTGCTCCCGGGAGAGGCAGCGGGCGGGTGCGAAGGAATAAGCAGAAGCAAATCGAGGGTTGGTGCCGAGGACAGGCACTCACGGCCTTTCCCCGCTTCCTCGGCAGCGCCCAGCCGCGACGGTGTCGCAGAGCCACCGAACGGGGGAGATGAGAGGGCCAGCCCCCTGCTCGGGCTGGGGCCGCTGCAGCTGGCTGCCCAGGGCCATGTCCAGGCGGCTTTCGAATGGCTCCGAGGAGGGAGACTTCACAACGTGTCTGGGCCACCCGTGCCAGTATTGTCACCTTCACTCTGTAAGGTTATTCCTGACGTTCAGATGGAACTTCCTGTGTGTGTTTTCAGTGTGTGCCCACTGCCTCTGGTCCTGTTACTGGGCACCTCTTGAGAGGTGTCTGGATCTGTCTTCTTTGTTCTCTCCCTTTAGCTATTTATATATGTTGGGCTAAACAGTCCCACACTTTCCACCTTTACTCACAAGAGATGCTCCAGTCCCTTAGTCACCTTTGCAACCCTTCACTGGACTCTTCCCAGTATGTCCATACATCCATGCCTCTCTTGTATTAGCCCACAGCTGGATACAGTACTCCAGATGTGGCCTCACCAGTTCTGAGAAGGAAAGGGTCACCTCCCATGCTCTGCTGATGACACTCTTCCTCACACAGCTCAGAATACCAGTGGCCTTATTTGCCACAAAGGCACATTGCTGGTTCACATTCACCTTAGCATCCATCACAATGCCCAAGTCCTTTTTTGCAAAGCTGCTTTCAGCAGATCACCTCCCAGCATATAGTGGTGCATGGTGGTGTTCCTCTCCAAGTGCAGACTCTTGGACTTCCTGTTGCTGGCCTTCCTGATGCTCCTGTCAGACTTCTTCCAGCCTGTGGTGTCCATCTGGATGGCAGCATGACTGTTCAATGTATTGACAACTCCCAGTTTTGTATTCTGTGTATCAATATTTTCCTGATGTACTTCTGCTACAATAATTTATTTATTTTTAAAGGGCCTTCTTCAACCAGTAATTCACTACACGATGACCAGCCTCCTCTGAAACAGCACTAATGTAGAGTTCCTCTGTGAATAAATCATTTTGCTACTATGGACAACAGCAGGACTTAACATGGACCTTGGGGTACAGAGGTATTTCAGGTGGCACCTGAGAGGGGATCTCAAGTTACAGAGGCCCAGGGAATTTTATGTATTTCATAGGAAACAAAACCAAAAAAATACCCAGGAAAAAATAGCTATCTGTAGGAAAATAAAACCACAGCTAATAAATGTGAAGAATGAAATATTATTATAAATTTCATCCCATCTTTGATAGCCAGATTCAAAAATAAGTAATTCCTCAGCTGAGGAGCTGCCAGTGCCCTAGGGTTGCAGTGACCCTGGCCACTGTGCATCAAGTGATCCACAGTGCAGTTACCCTGGGCAGGCGCAGGCTGAGGCACTGCTGGGCTGTGCTGCAGGTATAGGCTGTGCCATGCTGCATGCATCTCCTCAGCCCCCAGAGAAACGCAGCTGGCTCATCATTGCAGAGGAGCCTGCAGGCAGTCCCGACTTGGTACCGGCCACTACACATCCTGCTCAGCCTTACCTCTAACAGCACAGCAACAAGGTTTCATGAGAGCACCATTTGTTTTTGGGCTGTAGAAATGTTAGAATTGTTTCTGTGTAAGAAAATCCTACAAAGCTTGAAAGGCCAAAAAGGGAGAATTTGTACTATGGAAGTGGTCTGCACAGTGTGCTGTGTGTGAACTGGAGGCTCCCTCAATGCTATACCACTGGGGCCTTCCACCATCTGAAGGGGTGTGAGATTATACTATTCTCTTCCTATAATGTAAATAAATAGCATTGTAGATATTTCACAGAGTCTAGGTGCTGTTCTTACTGGGATCATAACGGACCAACACCTCCTGGTGCACAATGGGGTTAAGTGAAGAAATCGGAGAATTGAGGTGTGCACGTTCTTGCTATTATTTTCCACAAGCAAATTAAATATGCAGAAGTCCCTGCTCTACTTCACACAGATGTAGTTGTCAAGTTCATATCAGTGAAGTTTCATGGAGGCAGGCTCTGGCAATCTGATGATCTGGATGAGGCAGTACTTTGAGCACAGCACAGTCCTTGTGGTAGGCTTGGAAGGGGCACTTTTTGAGGGGTTAAATGGTGTTCTGTTTGGGAGTGTAGCATAGAAGGTCGATGAGTATTTTAGATGAACATACTTTGGGTATAGTGGTTGAGTTTGGTTCCATATAAAGGAGTATTTCAGAAAATCTTTTTTTGCACACCATTGGGAAGCCTTTCGAGCAAAGCAAGATTACAACTTATTTGAAGAAAACTCCTGGAACAAACTTGCCAACAAAGTTTTCAAGTTGACAAGCAGGTTTCTTTATTGCGGTGCCAGTAGACACGGGGGTACCTCCTCCTAACGTGTATCACTGTATTTCTATACAGGCCATGCTTATATAGTCACTGGGCATACATACATATTCATGAGGCTACGTATGGATTACATCATTTTGCAGAAATTTTCCCACATGCTTACAAAAATGTGGTGGTGGTCTTTGACAGTCATCTACTTCTAACAATCTTCGTAACTTCTGGCAGTCTTTCAAGCACTAAATTAACGTTACAGACACAGCAATAATCCTGTCCTTCTACCTATCAGTTAGTCTAACTACTTCCATCCTGGACATCTCTAGTCCCAGATACTCCCTATCCCCAGGTCCTGTTTTTCTATTCCGTTTTCCTTACACTTTTTGTACTGAGGTCCTAAGGACCTAAAACTGTGTCAACTGCCTTCAAGCACCTCAGTTATTTTTCCATTACAAAGCCAAGCTTAACGTTACTTAGAACTGATTACATTTTGTGTTTTTGTGCCTCTTTGTCTCACAACTCAGCCCAGCCAGAGCACTGTTTCAGGGCTGGAAGGCCATGTCTGTTCCAACACCAAACTTTGCACTCATTTTTCCCCATCTTCTGACACCATTTTTCCCTTGCACTTCAGGGTGAAGGCATGACAGGCCATAGCTCCTCTCAGATTGAAAAGCGAGCCTTCCGGCGTGGCGAGGGCCTGCGCAGCGCAGGCGGCACACTGCCTGAGGCGCCATGACACTGTGGTGTCGTCCGAGCCCACTGGAGCCGTTGGCACTGCGACACCTCACGCCTACCGTCGCCGCACGAAAGAAGGGCGCGATGATTAGTCCCGCCCCTTGGGCCTGGAACGCACCAATCAGGAGAGAACGTGCTAAGTTGCCCTCTCTGCGATTGGGCGTCGCTCTGATGACACGTGCTCTCTGCCGGGTAGCCCGCAGGCTTACGAGGGGTGGCCGGTGTTCCCGAGCAGCAGAGGCGCGGACTGGCATTTCCTCCCCTCCGAAGGCCAAAAGGTGCTCGGCTCTCCGTCGTTCCTGGCGGACGTGGGCCCGAGGGCGGCCTCGCAGGCACCTTCCTCCGTTGCTGGGGCCGTTCTAGCTGGAAATCCCCTTTATCGCCAATGTGTCCTGTCAGGCAATGAAGGAGGAGTTGAATTCTAGTTGTGGAGGCGTTCCAGGTAGCACAGGGAAATCCTGAGAGACTGCTGTCTTCTAGATCACTCTTCTAAGCAAAAGTACATTGACCTTTACATTTACCATAGAAGTAGGCCTAGAAGAGCAACTGGGGAACTTAAACCTACCTCAACTTCCAAAGATAAGAACAAAGTCTGTAACAAATTCTGTAACAAATTCTGAGGTGCGGCAAAAAACCCCATGGTGCTTTTTCGTAATAGTAAATTGGATAACTTAAAAAGAAATTAATTCATGACTGTTAAAAACCAGATCATGTTAAGAAATCGTGCAGCTTAACAATCTTACCAAACCTACCTTTACAATTAAGACATGGTCAAATTTTCATTACTTTGAGACACATTTTGGTTGTCATATAAGACAGAAATAGTTTATAAAACCATAAAAGAAGATGATGTGACCAAAACCAGTGAACTTATCTGTTCAAATTTTTATTTATTTAAGATATTTTGTATAGGTCAAAATGGGTGATGTTAAAAAAGGCAAGAAGATCTTTATGCAGAAATGTTCTCAGTGCCACACAGTTGAAAAAAGGTAGAAAGCACAAGACAGGACCAAACCTTTGGGGTGTATTTGGCCGCCAAACAGGACAAGCTGAAGGATTTTCTTATTCAGAAGCGAACAAGACAAAAGGTAAAACTAATAGGTGACATGAATAGGTGCAGTGATGGAGAGGACATGTACAAAAAAACTTTCTTTAGAAGTACAATAGAAAGCCTCACAAGGAATTACAACTGCCTACTTTGTATTACTGCAGATGAATCTGAACTATAATTTCAGAAACAAAAATCCTAGGTCCCTATGTTGAAAAGAACTTTTACCATTATTCAGCACACCAGGTCAAAAGGTATATAACTTTCCCAGAATTTTGTAATATCAATGGGCAAATTTCCATTTCTATTTCTTGAGAGTGCTTTCAGATTGCTGGTCACTACCCTCTGCTGGCACCGTGGTGTGCTGCGGTTTTTCTGCTCAGCACTTGACTAAATACGGTCACCTACTAGTAAGCTGTGCCTTTTCTTGTGTTTTTCATGCAGACAGTCCTGAAAAGCAGTGGAATATCTAAAAGTGGAGAGTAATTCTGTGTCTGTTTCATTATTTTTCTTTTATATTATTTAAAAATAAATTATATTATTTGAATCAATCTATTAATTACAATTACAGTCCTGTTTGGTTTTGGTTTCATTTGTTTGGGTTTTTTCCTGGTTGCTAAGGTACTTTAGAACTGGCTGACTTCTTTGTTATTCTGTGATTTCTAGGAAATGTTTTGTGACATTCACTTTATACTAGGAATTCCTTCACACAAAAAAATTGCCAGCATATGTTAAGTATTTTTTCTCCTTAAAAATGTAGTGAACAAATCCTACAGGTGTTAGTACAAGTTTTTAAAAGAAAGACAACTAAGTGACTTCTAAATCCACCTTAGACCATGTGAAAAGTCAACTCTGGAGGACAGAAGAGAAACTTGAATATGTAGTGAGAGGTATTTGTATAGTCTTGAGTACAACAGTAGACTGCTTCTGTTGACAGAGACAGGTTTTATCAAGGTTGAGAGGAAACACTAATAGTATTTCAATTCATGTCAGGAGATTCCAGGGTCTGGCCGCTGACAACCATTTTTCTAATGCCCCTCAGTGGAGCACAGCCTTGATGAATTTCATGCTAATCTGTAGATCTTAATTTCAACAACTGTATGAGATTCAAAGTTGGATCTTCTGCATTCTGGAATTACAAAGATATAGCTTACAAGTATTAAGTAGCTGTATGTGAAATAGTGCAAAGAACTGCAAGTCTCTACGATGCAAAAAGGATTTACATTTGACTTATTAAAGTGACACAAAGACAACATATACCTTGTGAGTTTTACATCATGTATTATTTATGCTCATATTCCTCTTGAATTCTAGACACATTATGTTCAGGAGCATCACACCTTTGATTTGAGATGGTTGACTTTTTCATATCAACAACATATATGCTGTTGGGCCAGCCTTGTATTTTATAATTTTTTTTGTATTTCAGGAATTATCTGGAGTGAGAGTACAATGATGGAGTATTTGGAAAACCCTAAGAAATACATTCCTGGTACAAAAATGATTTTTGCTGGAATTAAAAAGAAAACCAAAAGAGCTGATCTTGTTGCATACTTGAAAAAAGCAACTTCATGAAAACACTGCTGCAGCAGTTGTAATGTTAGTGAAAAATGTTTCGGATTTTGAATAGCTCCTCTGTCAAGTTTTAGCATTTTTTATGCTAATTATTCCTTAGGGACTGGCATTAGTAAAATCAAACGATTAAGATGCTATGTTCTAATTAAAAACATTGGAAGGTGAGAATAATTTGCATTGTGTTATATATTTCATAGATCTTTGTGAAGTGTGCTATAGAAATACTGTTCCTTTCTATAAGGAGATCTGAGAGCCCAATCTGCAACTAATTATTCAAACACTCACTGAAACTATTATTTAATTGTGGCTACGTAAATAAGAAAGTGCCTGTAAACACTAGGACTGACAACTAAATGAAGTTTTTCTTCTGGAAAAAAAAATCCTCAGCATTATCACCTATGAAGGAAAGTAGCATCTGCAGTAGGTAACAAAACATAACCTTACATTTAAAGAATACTACATAAGAATGGGGGAGGTGGAATACCAAGAATATCAGATATTTTCAGAGAACAAGTAACCTTTCAGTAGTGATGTTGACCTGAATCTTGAGGAGATACCTGAACACCCGTGATCTCTTTGGTTTAAAAACACTGCCCCACTCTGTTTAGTGGGGGTTACTCTGTTCCTCTGTTACCGTTCCTTTGTGTATTAAAAAAAATAATAATTATCTAGCAATCTTTTTTCAGAGTTATGTCTTTTTTTCTCCATTTGAGGCTAATATACTAAGGTATCTTTAACCTCTAACATCTAGAATGAATGAGGGATAACTAGGTCAAGCAAATGATAGTAGGAGATATTTTCACCAACAGCAGAGGACTCATGAAGGTGATTAAAGTCCTCCTAACACCTCATGAATCTCTACCACTTGAATTGAGATTTACAATTTAATTTTCAGTTTACACAAATGTAATACATTAAAACGTACTTCACTCAATGAAGGTTTTCTTAAGTCTTTGCAGAAGGGAACATTGATACAAACTAATTTACTACAGTATCTATTCCCAGGTGCTCACTTTATCAGTACTGTTCCAATGCTTACCCACCAGGAGCTTTAACCAGTTGTCTGCCATGCTCCACGGAGCTCAACTGCTGTTTTTAAGTAAAGGAATAAGCAAGAGTGTGATGAAAAGTTCTGTGACACAACCTGCTTTCTTTTTCTTTTGTACTATAGCTGTAAGATAGTTGCCCTTTTCAGTTTGACAGCTGGGACCTGTTCTGTTGACTGTTTAGACAGTTAAAGCATCTGCCTCAATGACAAAAATTTTCCAGAGTGTTTTTCTCAATTGCATTTTGAAGAGTTTGAAGAGTGCATTTGCCGCTGCCCTTCTGAATAGAGAAACACACTCTGCTGAGAAATAAACTGTAATTTCTCCTCTTGATTCTTTTAGGGCACCTTTGCATGCTTGTACCTGAGGAGACCAGGTGTGACTGGCTAAAGTCTGTTTTGCTGTCTGAGTTGCCTTTGTGCATCCACACGAATAAAGGGTGCATCATACATCAGATGCAGCAGACAAAAGCTGTCTGTACCTCACTGCAGCATAGCTGTAGAGTTACGAAGGCAGCATGATCCTATGACACTGACAAAATGCATTTGCCTCTTTGGCCCTCCCATGAAATGCCTCAACTTATCTATCTCAGGCCCACACACGAAGCTGCAGCCCAGTATACTGTGTGCTTGATTTACTCACCCTGCAAACAGAGGTACAGTCTTGATGTGTGCAGGACACAGACCCAAGTTTTCTCCTGACATTCAGTGATGCACCTGGCCAGCTTTGTGAATCAGGTTTTACAAAACCTGTGCAAGTTAAGAAAAGACAAATTATCAAATGTGATAATTTGTCACATTGTATCTGGAAACACTAAATTGCTTTAAGCATTTACTTACAGAACTACTACACAGTAACCCTTATGTAGTAAACATTGGTGTGAGTGCCCATACCAAACCTTATCCTAGTGAGATGGTACAAAATGTTTACATACAGTTCTTTCATTTGCATGCAGATCCCCAAGGTCCTTACTGGAGAGCTCAGGGTAAGTGCCTGCCAGGCCTTCAGCAGCTTACGCGGTATCTTTGTGCAAGTGAAGTGTTTGTGCCAGCGTTGAAAAACCACGAATGCTACTGGGAAGGCCAAACAGCGATTAGCAGCTTCGGGCAAGCGGGCGCCCTTCAAGGCTGACGCTGACGCAGTGCCAGCCGCTGGGGCCACTTCAGTGGCAACACAAGCAGCAGTGTACAGATGTGCGCCAACAGCGGGGCCTCCACCGCCGACGTGGCGCTGTGCCTCCTGCCGCGTGTGAAGTCCTTTCACTTCACAGCCCTGGCAGCGTGTCAGCAGCGCGCGGACAGAAATGCGTAAAACATTGAATGTTTCAGTCGCCCTTGCCCTCACCGAAATGCGCCCGCAATTTCATGTCCACGCTACCTGTATAAAAGAGCTTGGCTTCTTTAGAGGTGCGAGCAGCTCCGGGGCGAACCCCTAAGCGTGTCTTCCGACGTCCCCTCTTCCCGCCCTTCGCCCAGTCCGCTCGCCGCGGGTGCGGCAGCCGGGCGCCCCCCGGCAACTCAGCTGCGGCTAAGGCACGCTGCGGCGGCAGGGAGCAGCCTCTTCCCCTCGCCACAGCAGCCCCCGGCCCCGCGGACAGAGCCAGGAGAGTAGAAAGAAGCTGTGCCGCTGACCGAGGGGTAGGCACCACGGCGGCCCGGGGCCGGCGGCAGTGAGGGAGCTGCTTCTCCGCCTGCAACATCGCAGGCACCGAGACCGGGGGACGAAATCCTTTGTCGCTTCTCAAGCAGCCTTTGGGAGCCACAGCACCTTCAGGGAGCCTCTCGCAACCCCCGACTGCTGCGGAAAACACGACAGCCCCTCTGGCACACACGCAGAGCTCCCTCCCCAAAAAACAGCCTGCACTGTCCACATCTGTCCCGAAATCGTTCCCCCTCCTTGTAAGCACTGCCCGCATCCCCGAGCCGGGATGGGCTGCTGCAGGAGCAGGGTCCCCGACAGGTCGGAATCTCGTTTTATTGGAGGTTTGCCCGTGTGTTTTCCCAGCCACGCAAACTCCCATTCATGAATTTCTGAAGCTGCCTTCATTCAGTCTTTGGTGAGCGCATGAAAGACATTTTTCACGTGTTAAGATCCATGACTCCGTTTTTCAGTCGCTTACGCGTAAGCATCGATTTTGCAATGAAACGTGCTCCACGTGCGCATAAAAGTAATCCCGGTCCATCCGCCCCGGTGGATACAGCCGGCTTCCCCCTGGCAGCCGGTGCTGTAGGAGCGGGCGCCCAGGATCTCTTCTGCAAGCCCGCTATAGCCGAGCGCCCCCAGGGGAATCGGTTCGTAGGCACAAGGCTCTGGGCGGCCCCGCGGGCAGAGCCCGCTCCCTGCCCCGCAGCACGGCGCACAGCGCGGAACCCTGGGCAGAGCCGGTCTCCCCTTGGGAGAGATGTGGGCGTCTTAACGCGGGGATTTAACAAACGGAATTCGCTTGGGCTTTCTGGAGGCACTCCGCGTTTCTGCCTGTCTGCTGAAGTACTGAAGCGGCGCAAATAATGCTATAAATCAAACCTCTTTAACGGGAGCGCTCGCCTTACCTCCCCCCGCCTCGCCCGCAGACCGGGCTTGCCCCTTCCCTTGCACACGCATGACAGACAAAAGGACCCTCCCTCTCCCCCCGCACACGCCCACCGATGCTCCTGAATGAGGCGCCCACTGCTGCGGAGCGCCTTAGCGCAGCACCCCCTACTCGCGGTCCTCCGGCCGGGGACCCTGCACGCTTCTACCCTTCTCCCCCAGCTTTCCCTAGGGAGGTTGGTGAGGCGGCTGCCGCCAGGCTTGCGGCGGTGCTCCCCTCCCGCAGCGGGGCTCGCCAGCCCTCCCTCCTCCCCGCCTGCCCCCCCGCTCGGCTCTCGCGTCCTCCCCCCACCCGCCCCTCCCTCCCTCCCTCCTCAGCGGTCCGCCGGCTGGGTTACGCAGCAGCAGCCGCCAGCACTGACAGCGCCTGGCAGAAGGGGTTTGCCCGAGCGCTCTCGGAGCATCTCGAGAGGCGCGGCGGCAGCGCCTGTCCGGCTCACCGGGAAAGCCGGCCCAAAACCGGGCTACGGAGCCACGACCAGAGAAGGACTGAGAGTCAAGGACCAGGGAAATAGCTAGAATAATACTAATACTACTGCTAATAATAATAAAGAGTGTGGGCAGGAAAAGGAGTTCGCGGGGGGAAGCAGAGGGCGAGAAGAAGGCGCGCTCCCGAGGACGGGCCCGGGCAAGGGGCAGAACCGGCTCCTCGCTGGGGCTACCGGCACCCCCTGCCCCGGGGCGGCCGTCGGGGCGGCAGCAGCACGTGGAAGCGGCGGGGCATGGTCTCCGCGGGGGCTCCTGCGGCCTGAGCCACCCCCACCGCCGGCACCATGGCGGCCGCCGCCGACACTGGCCTCGACGTGGCGGCGGTGGAAAGTTTCCTAGAGAGGCACCCGGAGCTGGTGGAGAAGTGGTTGAAGAGGAAGAACTCGCTTCCTAAAGCGCCCTCGGTACCCGCCGCCGGCCCGTCGGAGGAGCGCCGAAGCAGCTGCGGCCCCGGCGGCGGCTGGGGCAGTGCGGGCGGCCCCGGCGTCCTGCAGCGCCGAGCCTCTCAGATGGAGCTGCGGAAGAGCTTCGCCCGCTCCAAGGCCATCCATGTCAACCTTACCTACGACGAACATGTGCACGCCCGGGCGCAGGAGCCGCTGAGCAGCGTACGGCGGCGGGCGCTGTTGCGGAAGGCCAGTTCCTTGCCCCCCACCACCGCGCACATCCTCAGCGCCCTGCTGGAGTCCCGCATCAGCCTGCCCCAGTACCCCCCCACTGCCCTGGACTACAAACGCTACCTCAAGGAGCATAACGAGCGCCAGTTCTTCCTGGAGCTAGTCAAGGACATCTCCAACGACCTGGACCTCACCAGCCTCAGCTACAAGATCCTCATCTTCGTCTGCCTCATGGTGGACGCCGACCGGGGCTCCCTTTTCCTCGTGGAGGGGGCCGCCGCCGGTAAGAAGAGTCTAGTCTCCAAGTTCTTCGACGTGCACGCCGGCACCCCGCTGCTGCCCTGCGGCTCCACAGAGAACAGCAACGAGGTGCAGGTGCCCTGGGGTAAGGGCATCATCGGCTACGTTGCAGAGCACGGAGAGACCGTCAACATCCCCGACGCCTACCAGGTAGGAGCCGGGCAGGCTCCCAGGGCTCCGCTGCCCCCAGCTCCCCCCCGGGACCTCGGCGGCGGATGCGCCTGCCGGGGAGCCCCTCCGCCGCCCGGCCCTTCCTCCCTCCTGGGGCGTCCCTCCCCGCCGCCCGGCTTCTCCCCGGGCCGTCCCTGCCGGGGGTTGCGCGTAGTGCGCGCGAGTACGCTCGGGTCAACTGTTGACGGGGCGGGAGGGGACTCCCATGAAGGGGAGAGGAAAGCGGAAAGCCTTTCCCGGCGGCCGGCGGGGCCAGAGTGGCCACTAGGTCGGTCCAGCAGTGCTGCTGGATTTCACAGGAGTGCTACTTCCCTTCACACGTTTTCAAAACGTGTTTTGGAATCGGTTGAAGAAAAGTTTAAAAAAATGCCCGTGACAGTCCCGATGATCACATTCTTAAATCTCTGTGTCGTTAATGTTTCCTGTCTACCCTCTGCTGAAGTAATTTCACTGCTTTCAAAGGAACATGTATTTTCAACTTTGCCTATGCCCACTGAACCCACATGGCATGTATTTTCAATCGTATTCTTAGGACTGATAACCAGTCTTGTTCTTTTACAAGGGTTTTTGCCACCTTTCACTTTTATAGAGCCTTCAGTGTGAATTGTGATAAAGTAGTCCTGGCTTCAAGGCAAAAATTCCCATTGACTTCAGCAGGAACCGGTGTGTCTTCACCTGTGTGTGTAAATGAAAACTGGTGCATTCAGTTTACTAGCTTGAAGCGTATCTCTCAGTCCTAGGGGCTATTTCTAGTGTTTATTAGTGTGAGACACTGTCAGCAGTTTGAGGCTCCTGAGAAAATTAACAACCACAGAGAGACAGACTGAGAAACTGAATTAGGATCTGGGAAAGCTTCAGAAAGGTGGGAGATGCATATCTTTAAGGATTTTAGTGATAATCATTGCCCAATGCCTAATTTTGCTCTGCAATAATAGCAGAAACAATAAACATTAAAAAAAAACCTGTTGATGCTTTATAGCAAACCATACAAGGAAGAAACTTGAAAATAAAATTGAATTATTTTTGTTTGAAATGCAGAAGAGCCAAGGTAAATGTATTTTGGGTCGAATATTTATTTATTCGGCAAGCAGTGAAAAATACCAAGGACCTCACAGATCTAGACAGACAGAGGTTCCCAACCCAGAGTTCAAAGGGAATGAACAGAGCTTGGTAAAAAAGCTGTAATATTCAGACTAAAATGACTGAATGTTGGATCACCTTTGAAAAAAATTGAGCTTGTTTTCTTCCTTTATTTTTCCTTTTTACCATTATACACCATCTGATTTTTTTTTTTTTAATTATTATTACTTCTCAAACTGTACTTTTCCCAAAATACCTTCTGTTGGGGGTTAAGTAGATGCTTTCACTAGTCTCAAGTGGCTAAACAGATAGAAAGGATATCTGAGTTTGGCTGTGAAAGGGCTTGATCTCTCCTTTTAACTCTGGAGAGCTCCAGCCAATTTTTTTTTGAGAATGCCAGTGGAAAGGATGCTTCCTAGTCCCAGGGGACTGCATTATTTTTTCTTCAATGTTTATTTTGTGTTCCCTTCCCTTATGAAAAAGTCCCACTACTTTAAACAGTTTGTCTGTTTCATTCCCTGAGAAAAGTAAAAAACAACCCATCCAGTTACCATTCCTGGTACTATCTGTATTATGCTTTTGTTTGGCTCCTATCCAAAATTGATTAAAATACTATAAATAATACAATTCATTGTCTATTTAAGCCACAAGTACATTAGTTGCAGTAGAAGGGAAAGTTCTAAGCCAAGTTCACCCCATAATTTTATCAATTGCAACTTCCCTGCTTTCAGTGGAGTTACTTCTAGCTGTGCAACTCTTGTGCAAAAGAAACCTTGCAACCTTAATGAAAGTTTTGGTTTATAATAAAATGGGGGATCTACTTTCTATTATGTTTCTAAATTATTTATCTTCTTTTACCTGACAAATATATATCCAATTTAATAGTATAGAGAGCCCTATGGAAGTCCAGGTACATGTGTGTAAAGAAGCAACAGCTGTTCCGTTTCAGATCATTGTAATGCTCACAATGCAGCACTTTAAAAATTAATAAATATGATTATATGATTTTTTTTTTTGCCAGCATTTCCACTGGTGCTGGAAGTGTTTAAACAACTGTCAGGTACAAGAAAGTACCAACAGGAAACTTTGTCAGGCTGACAGGCAGAGTTGAAGATAAAGGGGTGACAGCACAGCACCATTTTGTCAACTGAAGAGAGTGTCTGCATTGATACTACCCACTTGGTAAGAAAAGGCCTTATGATAGGACAGAAGAACACCTCTAGATTAAACTTCTACTTTCTTTTTGTTGCTTTCTTTTTTTTTTTTCTTTAAATGGCAAACTTGTTTAAAAAGGTAAAGATACTACTGTATAATCACTTGGCTAATTTACAGTGTTGGGAAATTTGTTTTATTATCATCTAACCATCTTTATTTTGTCAGGGCCTGCTCTAATGCCAGTTGGAATTCCACCATTGAGTACAAATTGGGTTGCCTGCTTCTATCATCAGCTACTACTGACATTAATAGGACTTTAGTGCAATCCACATTACATATAAATCCTGCCATGTCTTGGAATGTGCTTCACACAGGCAGTCCCCTGTGCCCATACACAGACTGGTTTAGGAAATCTTTGTAAGTGGCTGGCAGTGTAATTTTCAGAGACTGTGTTAAGTTTTCAATTACACATTTATTTTTCTAAAAAGTAGTAAAAAATGAAATCAAACAATAGGCTGGGGCTTTTCCACAATCCTGTGATTATTCCTGTTGTTGAGTCAGACTTTCAAAACCTGCTCATGGAAACAATTTTCTGTAGTTCAATAAGCATACTTAGATACAAGGTTTGGAACTAGCATTGTGTATTGAGGCCTGTATAATAATAAATTCTTTTAATACTAAACAAAACTATATAATGCCTCACGGCACGTTGATTTAGGAAGTTCAGCAGTGACTGAACAAACTCTTTGGAGTTTCACAGCATCAGAGAATTTGACAGATATTTAGTTAATAGAAAGATTTCATTTGATAATGACTGATTCAAAAGTTGCACAATTTCATTCGTGGCATTAAAATAGCTTTGTTTATTGCATTGCAAAATCAAGTGATGACAGCGACTTTATAATTATAACACTTCGCAAAATATATGATCTAATCTGTAAGAGTTAGCACTATAGAGGATTTAAGAACAGAAAAGGAATTAGATACATTCTTTGCATTTTGGAGCCAGTCTTAAACACTTTCTCCTGCAAGTAATCCAGCTGACTTGCAAGTTGAACTCCTAGTTGGTTTAAGTTTGAAAATAAGGCCTTGGGTCTTCCCCTGTGTTAATTTTAGGAAGCATTTCTGACTCTTTATTCTTATGTGAATAATGCACTGTGGCTTGAGCACATATGTTGGAAGAATCCAATTATACTGGCAAGAAAATTTAGGTCCTGAATGTCCATTGAGACTCCTTTTAATAGAGCATAAATGTAGCTTCTGAAGTCATGTATGGAGACTATTAAGCATATCATAAGTGCACAGGAAGAGAGGCCATTAAACCTTACCTACAATTCTTCTGAGTTGTTTAAAAATGTAAGTTTTTTCCTATTTAAAGCTATAGATTTCTTTTTTTATGTCATCCCTTCTTCTTACATTTCTTCTATGATGTTTAGCTGAAACTACTGATCATTTTAATTTTGTTCTACCTTTTAGAGCAATATTTAAATAAAATCTTTAAATCACAAGTAATTTTTGGTTATCATTATACCTTTAGCTGTGCAAACATTGGGAGATAATTTTATAGCATCCCAAGTCCTTCTAACTAGTGAAAAAAACCCTATGATTCTTTAGAATAGTAAGCATACATTGGAAAGTGGTGAAAACTATGTTCTGCCATTTGCCAGTGTCAGCTGAATAAAGTTTCTGTGCATCTTACGTGAAATTAAGAATTTAAAAAGTAGCTTTTAAAGACAGAAGAAAATAATGGCTTACCAGATAGATGCTTTAATAAAGTGGGTAGCAAAGAGAGGAAAAATATTAAATGGAATAAAGCTAAGACGCTGGGTTTTGTTGAGTTGGAGAAAGTGACATAAAAGATGGTCAGAAATTATTTTTCTCAAGTCTTTAAAACCAAAATGTAACCACATTACTGGAGCTAAAAATCAAGTAAAACAAGAGACAAGTCAAGCTCTGCTCTACACCCTCCTGTGACCTCTTTCAAGCTTAGGCCAAGCAGAATACAGCTAATGCACACAGCCTTTTACAGTACATTTTAAGTATCCTTTATCACCTTAGATACAGGCATCAGTGTTGTCTTCAGGATGGCTGGGTGAGCTCTAAGCGTTCATGGTCTCCTGTTGTGTCAGGGCAGCATTACAACATTACTGCTCATAGGCACAAACCTTTCAGCCTGTGGGACGGGCTGCTGGTGTAGAATGTCAGGAGCAGGTGAGAGCCACATTTTTACACAGGGTAGCTGTTTGTTACCATCAGTATTAACAGTGCATCTCCTTCAATTTTAAAGAGCAGTTAAAGCATTAAAATCCTGGGTGGTGGGAGGTTCAGTTCTGCAAATGGGAAGCACTTAGGCACTGTTTTATTCAGCAGCACTTGAGCCACAGGCACCAACAATGGCAGTATTCATTTCAGTGCTGACTCTTTAAGGACAGAGGTTGCTCTTCAGAGAGCATGAAAGCTGGTAAGCAGAATAAATAATAATTTTTAAAAATTGCATATAATATAGAAAAAAAGAGTTAAACCAATTTTTGCTGAGCATTATTCACTAGAAAAGTGCCACGGGGAAGGCAGAAGATAATTGCAACTCTAAAGAACTACACTGCTCTGATATGCTTTCCACAAAAGGACACTCCAGCCCATCAGGCAAAATTTAGGAAAGCTTGAAACTGTACAAGTCAGTAAATTGGTGAAGGGATGTTGTGATTATCCCAAGAGTCAGAGGAGACAAACATGCCCTGCGTGTC